TGAAGTACAGATTCAAGGGGCTGAATGGCTTCCTCCCATCTTTGTTGCCTTGTGGGTAAATTGATGGACTACTCAGGTTTATCAAACTAATTCCTGGGGTGAAAAGATTGTCCAAGATTAAATACTGCTGGACTGTATGCTCTGGGATCTTGAAGAATGAGAGATGATCTCAAAGTGTACAAAATCTGTACAGGGCTCACCAGGGTCAATGCAGAGAAATGGTTCTGCTGGCTGAGGAGAGGTGGGCAGGGAGTTGGATAGGGGAAACGGTTTCAGATTAAGGGACAAGCAATTTCTGACTGAGATGAGGAGGAATGTCTTCACAGAGAGGGTGGTGAATCTTTGCAATTCCATCCCCCCCACCCCAAGGGAGCTGCCAGATTCAGTCATCGATTATGTTCAACACAAAGCTCAATCAATTTGTGGATGTTAAAAATAAACAGTGGGGAGATGGTGCTGAAATGAAAGATCGGCCGTGATTTCATTGAATGCTGGAGTGGGTAGAGGGGCTGAACGGTCTCCTGATCCTGTTCCTTATCTTATATAGTCATGCAGCACGGAAACAGATCCTATCGCCCAACTTGTCCATGCTCATTCCTGCTGAAATGAAAGCCGCATTAAGAGCCCCAGCGTTTGCTTAGATGCAGCTTTCTGTTACCTCACTTTGAATAAGGAATCTTGTTTTAGTTTAAGTGTACATGGCAACAGGTTAAACTCTCTGCTGCTGTAGCTCAGAATAAACTGTGTGTGTGTGTGTGTGTGTGTGTCTCTCTCTCTCTCTCTCTCTCCTTCTTTTGCATGGTTTCTGTCTCTCTCTACACCGGGATAAACTGAAATTAAATTTTAACACAAATCAAGGGATGATACAAAGCAACAAAATGCGCTGGGTTATGACCTATTTGGGATTGTGGGGTGCAAATGGCTTTGAAATTTCTTGATGCCCAGAAAAACCCAAGAGTTGCTAATTCAGCTGTGTGTGTTGTGTGTTGTCTGTGTGTCTGTGTGTGTTTGATAGCTGCTGCTGGAATCTCTTTGCGGGTATCCTCGCCTTTTATGGTGTAACAATCAATGCTAAATGAGCCTCGGTCTTTCAGGAAAATGCTTCCCATTTGGAGCAATTGCCCGTCCTAAACCAGATCAATAGCGGGCGAGGAGGGGGGGGTTTCTGGTTTTGCACCACTTCAAGATGTTGCTTCAGGGTGTTGCTTCTATGTCAGTCAGTTCAGGAGAGAAAAAGACAGCTGAGAGAGAGAGAGAGAGAGAGAGAGAGGACCAGAGGTAGAGAAAGGGAAAAATATGTGTACACATTCATAGAGAGGAGGCAGAGGGAGAGCGCGGGAAGGGGAGAGGGAGGCAGGGCAAGGGGAGGCAGGGCAATCAAAGGGGGGCAGGGCACGGAAGGGAGAGAAGGAGGAGTGGGAAAGGGAGGGAGACAGAGAGAGACAGTCACAATGAAGCATCTATATATATCTATCACTCAATCTGTATCTATATTTAATATAGATATCTCTATTACATATAGATACAGGTGGAGCGAGTGATAGACAGATATAGATGCATATATATCTGGAAGGAGAGAAACAGAGTGAGAGACAGTGGAATAACAAAGAAACAGACAAGAGACAGAAACACAAAGGGTAAGACAGAAACAAAGAACAAGAAGAGGAAAGGAAATAAAGATAGGGGGAGAACCAGAAAGAGAGGAACACGGGACCAAAATGAAAAAGGACTGAAAATGACAGAAGCACAAGGAAAGGAGGGAAAACTACACTATGATATAGGGAGTACAACACCCCAAATCAAAGTGGAGGAGTGACTTGCAGATAAAAAGCGAGCAAGTGGTTATCTAATCTGTTATTAATCACTTGTTAATGAGGAAATGGAAAGTGTTTGGAGTGTGCGGGGCAGCTCCCTGTGTGTTCTGTGCACTGGGAGTCCTCAAAAATGAAGTTCTTCACAACAGCTGTGGCTGTGTGAACGAGTGCCATTCTCAAATTAGTGTCACTCCGATAACTACAGTCATGCAGGAACTGGTCTGCAGATCACATTAACAGCAACATATCCACACAAAAAGTCAGCAAGATACTGCCAGCTCTGCACAGAAAAATCTACATCGACTAAAACAGCCTGGGTGCAGGTTCCTTCATAATTCCAATCTGTCTCTCTCCCTTTCACACTGACATCTGAGCCAGTCGATCAGAATCTGAAATGTTCACATGATTATAAAAAAATATATATCGCCTGCCTTGTGAAAGGCAATTCTGCCTGAGTTTCTTGGTAACACTGCATCAGAAGGGGATTTCCCTTTGAGTTCCCATTACAAAAACAATTTTCATGGCAGGCATTAAACTGGGATTAAGCATTGATGTTGTTTAATTCCACTGACCTAAACCATCTATTAAGTGGGTTAGGGGTTGAGTGGAATGAGAGAGTGGGTATCAGAAAGGAAGAGAGGGATAGGAAGAGCTGCTATAATTTCACTAGAGATAGTAGGAACTGCAGATGCTGGAGAATCCGAGACAACAAGGTGCAGGGCTGGATGAACACAGCAGGCCAAGCAGCATCATTTTTCAAGCCCCCACCCACCTCTGACCCTATCACTGCAGCTCAGTTGACTAAAGCTGGATTATAGGATGCACTCCATGAGAATTGGGCTACGTGTGTGCAGAGAGTATCCTCAATTTCCACAACCCCAGTTTGCCAAATAGGGAAAACACAATCTTAAACACATGACGACTCCAAGGTGCAGGGTGGTTTAAAAAGCAACACTGATAAAATAAAGTGTAAAAAGGTGGGGTGCAAGGAAGGGAGGGAGGTGAGCAGATCTGCAAGAATGGTTTAAGACAGAGAGGCAGCTCCAGTGAAAGCTCCAGAAGAACTGCAACATGTTGCTGTAAATTGCAATAAGTGATTGCAAATGCTTAGGAACATTAGCATTTAAAAGCAGCATCACCTTCCCGGGCCAATAAGTAATATTATTATTTGCAGCTTCAAGGGGTGGTCGGAAATTCAAATTGCAGCCCGGGGGTTTGGAGAAGGGAGGGGGCAGTCAGGAATTTGAACAGAAAACAAATTGATCGAAGAAGAAACAGAGGCAGTATTAGGAATGGTTTTGAACCCAAGAGGTTATGATGGATTGGAATACACTGTCTGAAAGGCGGGTAGGGAAGGGAAGCAGATTCAATATAACATGCAGAAGGGGAGGGTGGAGAACTGACAGGGGAAAAAGTTACACAGCCTTTTTGGACGGGGTGGGGCAGGTGAATCATGAGGCAAGGCCTGAGGTCTAATTGGAAAGGTACAGGCACACAGACTGGATGGGCTGAATGGCCTCTGCCTGTGCAATCCAATTCTGTTTAATTCGTTCCCAAAGGTAAAAATACAACATGTCAAAGGTATTGATGCCAGTTTTAATGTTTGCCTCCTTCTACCCTTGCTCCTTAATGTGGATTTCAGACATATACACACGCATTCACACAATTTCTCACACACTGAGTGCAGGTGTCTGACTATCTCTCATACATAGTCTCCCAGTCTCTCTCTCTCTCACACACACACACAAGCGCAGTCTCCAGACTCTCACACACACACACACAAACGCATTCTCCCAGTCTCACGCACACAAAAGTAGTCTCCCAGTCTCACACACACAAACGCAGTCTCCCAGTCTCTCTCTCGCACACATACACACACACAAACGCAGTCTCCCAGTCTGTCACACACACACACAAACACACACACACACAAACACACACACACACAAACACAGTCTCCCAGTCTCTCTTTCTCTCTCTCTCTCACACACACACACAG